ATATTTTGTAATTTTCATTCGCATCTAGTATTTAATAATTTACAGGAAAACCCATATTACAGTTATTTAGATCTGATGGAATGATGTTTTCCATACCACTACCACACTATACCACCACAGAGTAGGTATCCGTTTTCTATCGTCTGATTGTGCTGTATTATGTATTTTTTCTCTTATTTTCACGGTGCCTATTGGATTGGGATGAATCGTGTAAATTTTGTAGCGATCGTGAGTTTTTTACAGAGTGTGATTGTTTTTTTTTTTTATATACAGGTTCTTGCGCCTTTGGCGTAGAGGATTGAAAATGTATTTTCCAGAAACTTTCAAGTAATTTCAGTGCAGTCGTGATTGTTTTAGTTCTTTTCTCTCGTCGTAAATTTATCGGTTACGAATGAAATAATGAATAATAACATTCCCATGTATTATTACTTTATCTCTTCGAATACCTACAGGTATATTTGTAATTAATCTACGAATAAATAATATCAAATTGTGGTGGGAAATATTTTCATTTAATTTATACAGTTACCTAATAACATTTAATGTATAATATTGAAAAAAATCAATCAGCTTTTCTCGGTTTTGCTGTGGTATACATTTATCATCTGCACTAAATGATTTTTTATTTTACTCATTTTCTCAAAATTAAAGTATAATAACATTTTCAAAACATAAATAATTATGTATTTGTACATAATTAAAAAATTTTACTATAATATGCAAAACAAAAAAAAAATGAGTTTATTAATTATTAATGAAAACAGTTTATTAAAGAAAATGTTAAGCTTTTTCACTGATTTTAAACATACAATTTAACAATTAAATTACTTATATGAGTTATATTCTAAAGTATTTTCATTAGGTACAATAGGAATAGGTACCTACATAATATAGAAACATATTTGTAATTGAAGGGTTCAGTGGAAATACCAGAAAAGTCCATTTTTATCAAAAATGAGTTTTTCATGGAATATTATTCATGGAAGAAATATCTATATTTTTGTATCACAATCAGACAAATCGCTTTATTACAGTCAGCAGATAAGTATGACTTACAGAATACGAAATACTTTTATTGTATTACCTACCAGTTTTTTAAGAATGTTATTTTTTTTATTAATGTGTATGACCATATTGTTATTCAAACTTATCTTAAAAAACTCGTTTACTAAAATACATTATAATATTTCAAAACCCGAGACGTCTATTTATGATTCGTATATTGTATGTTCGAAAATATTTTGTACAGGTATAATATATTTTTATCTTTAAATGTATTAGTTTTTTCTTATTAAAAAATACGAAATAATGTAAGTAACCTTGCTTGAAAAAAATTAGAATACCACAAGATCCGTTACATAAAGGGGTACCTACAATCCACATGCCATTCTATCATAGAATATTTTGTATAGGTACCTACAAAAATGTAACCTCTAATAGATTAGGTTTTCATACGTTATTCGTATACAGTGTCATTTAATTATTTCAGTACATATACTAATGACAATGCAGACATTTGTATTCATGTGAAATTATTTTTCAAATCGTTGAGAATAATACACATTACACCTTTACTAATATTATAATTTATATTATAATATTATGTACACGAAAACCAATGGAAATGGGCTAATACGAGTATAATATAATTACTTAGAATTCTAGCAGATTAGTCGTTATTTTAGATTCTGATTTCTGATCTATTTTAGATTGTAGGTATATTAATTTTATAGTGATGTGATTTTTCTTTCAATTATTGTGTCGGTGTACACAACAAGTACCTAGTAGAAAAAAATGAATATAGTTTATACTTTTGAGATTTCAAATATCGTCAGGTCCTAACTTCTCAGTACTTTTTAAAATAACCAGGATAACAAAAATTAAGGAAAAATATTAACTTTTACGCAAAACCTGTTACTTTTGGCAAGCAAATCAATTTTGTTATTTTTTGGGCAACTTCAAAACAAATAATACTTACTAATAATAATATTTATTTACCAACAACAAAATGTTTGATACGATTGAGATTACATGCAATATTAGATAGACCGTCTTCACTCCGAATCGTTTTTCGTATACAATGATATAATATTATTGAATTCAAATTTAACATATTCTGTACAGTGACCTAGTCGTAATCTACTACACAGGAAAATAAACTTATAACTTCTTAATTGATCTGTTCCAGTATAATATATATATTGTATATTTGTATATCGATGATATTTAGGTATATTATGTGTGATGAAATTTAGTACATTATAATTATGTGCAATTATGTGCTTTATTTGTTGCATTATGAATCTTATATATTATTTAAATTGAATATGTATTAATAGAGAATTAATATTATAATGTGAAGCGTATTTGATGTATATACTACATACAAATTATTGTATTATACTATATAAATATATAATGCATATATTTTAAGCTAGAAATATAATATCAAAGTATTAAATCAATTAATTGTTTTATGAATTTCAAAATAATTAATTGTTATTACTGTTTCTATAAAATGTATAGAAACAGTAATAACAATATTTAATATTGTAATATTGATGATAATTATTATTTTAAATATAAATAACCTACCTTTCTATTTATTTAATACTATAAGTTATTAATAATAATATTAAATTATATAATTTTCTAAAATAAAGTCATCGTCTCAGGACAGCATACCTATGTTATCTTTAAGGTCGAAAAAGTAGAAGACTTATGAAACATATTAATGTCTAGCGTCTAACTGTAAAATATGTATTATATTATACATCTGTATTTTAAATATTTTTTTGCACGTTTTAAAAATCAAGTTTTATACTTAACTGGTAAAGTGGTAAATAGTTTTGATAAAAATAACAAACTGATAGATTTTTAATCTTGATGAATTTTTAATTTTTTTTTTCTTTAAGTCTATTTAAAATTATTCATCAAACCCGTTACGCATGATTTGTTAAATTAAGTTAGTGTTCAATATTATATTCACCAGCACTCCACACCACGTCTTTTTTAGAGCAAAAATGTCAAAATAATGAAAAGGGAAAATTTGATAAAACCCATTGGCGCGTGAAGACTGACGAGTTGAACACACCCAATTCATATTCTGAGTGCAGGACACTTGTCTGAGGGTGAGCGGCCCGTTGGCACGCGAGGCAATCCCTTCCAGTCACTTGTTAATTACAGCTTCGAAATCACATTTACATATAATAATAATTCGTGTATTTACACACGCAAAACCTGAGGCAGCCACGGCCTCGTGGCTTCGGCAAAGTCCGTTTGTGGGATGTCCCAATAATTATTATTATTATTATTATTACTGTAGTTATTATTATCATAATCACTTCAGCATTGGTGGAAGGAGGAGGGATTTGCATGGTAGCGAAGCGTCCGTTTGTTATTATACACTAGTGGCTGGTTTGCTTGAATGGACTCGAATGCCCTCGCTATTATTGTTAGGTACACAACTCTTCGTTCGAATACTATGAGAAATTGTATTACACAGCTGGCCATTGCGGGTTACCTGGTTACATGGTGTAAATTGGTTTGAAAATGTCATCGAATCGTTTATATAAACTACAGAAATTATTGTTAAGTGGTAATTGCAAAGTGCTGTAACTATATGTGAGCATCTGTTTGTCTCATTCAATAAAATTAATTTTTTTAAATCGTAATTTGGTATAACGTTTATTATGCTCTAGGTATTTATTACAAATAATACATTAATTTTTAATAACATGACACACTACCAGTGTTCATTAATGTTCCTATGAGTTTGATTTACAACAGTAGGTATTATTCTTACTTTCAAAACTAGATTTTTCATTACTGTTCAAATATTAAATTTAAATTTAATAAGAATTATTAGAGAAGGCATCAGAATCTGAACATTTTGATTCGATATAACTACCTATTATTGGAAACAGCAGGATCATTTTGTAGGTACTGATATATATCGGCTGGGCAATAATTAACCGTATTTTATTTTATTTGAACACAAAACATCCATGGATATTATCGAAAATTGTCATTGTAAACCTATCTACCAACATGTCAATAAATGTAATGCTTTCGTGTTTTTATGAAAATCCACGCACATTAACGTAATATGTACATATTACATAAATTATATATATAGGTATACAATCCGTAATGAGGGAATGCGATTACTCCAGGAACGATAACTCATATTGCAATATTGTTCCCTTTTTTTGTTGTCCTACAATTATCACGTATTTGATTTATTGTAATCCCAATATAGGCAGCTGCTATTAGTTATATGACAGAGATTATATTTTTTTTAATCCTATATTAAGCACACAAAAAACACACAAATAATGTCATTGTACGCGTTTGTATAATAGATTATATATTTTCAATAAATAGTATTGTATCGTAAAAATCAAAATTAAAAATAATGTGCACTCTCAATCAGGTGCTGTTTTTTTTTTGCGATCGTATAGAAGATATATGGCGGAAATTGATTGGGACATTGTTCCAAAACGTTCAAATAGCTGTTTCCTAAAATATATACATATATTTTAGTGCTTGGCAATAAACGCTTATAGAATATCTCGTCTAACGAATACGAGACGAACATAAACCGTCATAACGATAAAAAAAATAAAATAAAGGACGATACAAATAGAGAATGATTAAAGTACGTCTATATATTTATTATATAATACACATACTTACGTAAATATAATATTATGTGTGTGTATTCGTTATGTTAAGTAAAAAATACTGGAAAAACAAATAAACCTAAACGAATAATAATTGTACTAGGATGAGATTTATTCTAACAAAATGCAATTTCTTTTTGGACTTATTATTTTAACCACCTGGTCCTTGTATCTTGTATCTCCTTGTTCTCTAAAATGTTTGTTATAAACTATTTTATCAAAATTAGATCGTCAAGTTGAAAACACTTATTTTGTTATAATGTAGTTAAAAAAAAATGGAAATTTCTTAAAAAAAATGTACTGTATTTTTTTTAGGAATTCAATACGACAATACCACACAATAACACAATAGCAGCGCGGTGTCAAGAACCTATAGGCACATACAAACTTAGCGGACCTCCAGTATTAAATTGCAGTAATGGCATTTGGTCGAGTCCAATACCTAAGTGTCAACCAACAACTCTATTCACTAATTATTCAGGTATTGTTCTTTTTACACCTAATATCGTTGCCATTATTCGGTTATTTTATATCCATTATTTCATAAATATTTTTAAACAAGTTTAATATAAATTAATTTATCATAAAAATGAGTTATTTTTAGTTTAAAATAAAGTTCAATTAATTAACATTGTATTAATATGTAGTTAGTTTTATTGCTTTAAGCTAAAAATATATTTGATACAATTGTCATTTAAAAACAAACTTGAAGTTACTTGTTGTTATGATATAAATACATACAGTTATTTTAAATACTATAAAATTGAACATAAAATTTAAATAATTTATTATCATTCCTAATAAAGTGTAATCCAACATTAAGGGAATCAACATTTTAGGAGATAATCTGAAATTTTAAATTTAAATTCTACAACTTATCCTATATACTATATATAGTATATACAATAGGGTGGTGCTTAAAATTCAACTTTTAAAATATTATTGGGGCACCTTGTCAATTTGTTCTACATGATATTAATGAGCGGTTGGAAAAGTTTCAGGTGTAGTTATTAAGTTTTAAAGGTGGCTACCAGCAGATGAAATAATGCTACAATTACGCAAAAAATAGGTATAATCGATAATTTCTATAGACCCATAAAGATTCAAATAAATTAATTAACTAATTAACAAAATTAAGTGATGGAAAAACTGCAGTAGTACTGACAAATACTATTAAGCAATACTTAGTAATGATCCTTTAGAATACAATGTTAACACTTCATCTATTCGTCATCACCGTATACAGTACAGACAATAGATAGCTGAATATGTGAAGATGTTTTTACATCAGAAGCTCCACTTACTATTCACTGGGATGGAAAAATTATTGAGGATATAATTGGACATGAAACCGTAGACCGTCGTCCAATTTTAGTAGGTATCTGGTAAAAGTGTTGACCAACTTCTTGCTATTCCAAAACTAATATCCGGAATGGGGCAATCAATATATTTGGCAGTATATAAAACTACATCATCCTGGGGACTTTGTGATAAAATTAAATGCAAAAGCTTTGACACTACTGCAGTAAATACTGGACTGAGGAATGGGGCATGTATTCTACTTGAGCAAAATATGGACAAAGATATGTTATGTTTGGCCTGTCATCATCATAATATCACGGAGATCATGTTAGAATCAGTTGTTGTTCATGCTATTGGGTGTTCATCGGGACCAGATATATTATTGTTTAAAATATTTAAAAAATCTTATAACACAATTCAGTCGGAACATTTTGAAACTGACATATCCGATGCTTCTACTTCAAATGAAATCGAAAATAATTCTACAGATACTATCATTTTTGCTTCAAAACAACTCGAGGAGTTTCAACCAAGAAATGATTATAAAGAATTATTGAACCTATGTATTATTTTCTTGGGGGGAGTTCCTAAAATGAATATTTATTCCAAAATATTGGTTTCAAGCTACTTCAGCGATTTATTCACCTAGAAATAATGACCTACAACTATATTAAAAAGTTTAAAAAAATACGAACAAGTAATGTAATGATTTTTAAAAAAGCCATGAAGAAATTTCTTGGCCATCTTTGGTACTTATCAAAAATTGTATATTATACAAAGTAGGTAACATACTGGTCAATTATCATTTACGTTTTTAATTTACGTTAATTTGTTAACTGATATATGAATGAAAAACTTATTGAAATTATATTTATATTTTATCAATATATTTTCGTACGTGAAATATTTGCATAAACTACACTTCATGAAAAAGAAATTATTTAACATTATTATAGTTGAGTGATAATAACTAACAATGTATTAGGTGAATAAATTATGATATAAATTAGGGAGGAGTTGAATTATACTTTCTCTCGTACATTTTATTTTGTATTTTAAAAAATCTAGTTGTAACGTCTAAAATGATCAATCATTTTACTTTAAAATATAACTTTCTAGCTGCATTAAAACTAAAACACACATTGGGTTTTATATATGTGAGTAAAATTATCACGTATGAGGTCATCCTTTTTTAACCCTTTATTTTAATCATTTAAAGTACATTTTTAAAACGTAAAATGTTTTATAATTTCATCATCTAAATTAAGTCCAACAGGCTTACATTAAAATTTAAAATTCCTTCATTTCATAAATAATTCAATTTATAAATCAGAGCTTCGGTACATACCCAACAAAGGTTTTTATGCAAGAATATATTTTAAATATAGTACGTAATATTTTAAATAATATATCTTTTATAACAAATTGGAGAGAATATAACATCATTTTTTTTTCAATTGTGGTCCTATATATTCATGCATTTACAAATTAAAAGTGTACACATCTGATTTCTTATAAATGCTCTGAAACTGTAGTTACTTATATGGCTCTATGCATTAAAGAAAAACAGTTTTCAAAAATAATTATTATTATATGATAAATAATAATATATTAGTAATAATTATTAGAATTACCAAAGGGTGTTAATATTGGAATCAAGTTAGCCATTAATGGCAATGTGTTTGTATGTACCTATAATATTTAAAACATGTAAAAAATGTTTTATATATTTGAAAAGATGCTTCCAAGAGTATTTTTGTACAAAAATGTAGAAAATGTTTTAAAATAAATAGTATTTTTTCTTAATTATTCCAAAATACAATGAAATTAAATTAAATATTCGTTGAAATAAGAGTCATCTTTGTAGTGGTAATATGTCGACAAAAGTCAATATAATACAACTGTATGTTATATAATGAATACATTTACAAATCTTCTTGTTTGATAATTTATAATATTACGTTTTATTAAAATTATAAATACGAGTAGGTAATAATAAATAAACATTTATGGTTTAAAATTAGTAAATAAAGGTAAAAAACTAAAATGATATGAATATCAATTCATATATTTATATTTCATATATTAAAAAAAAACGTAATATTTTTAAATATCTAAAAACAGTAAATATACAAAATTTAATCATTGAACTGTAGATACAATGTACACAAGGTAGCAAGATATTATATTTGATTCATATTATTAAGAAATTGTTTAAAAGATTGTGTTATGTACTGAATTATTAGTTATACAAGTAAATTATCTAAATAAGTACTCTACAGCTTATGTATATTAGGTACCTTTACTTGTTTGGCTATTTGTTAAATTTTTTTTTATATTTTTTAATATAGTGCATAATATGTATGTCTTAATAACACAAATGAATTTGTATAATTGTTATATTTTTATTCCCTCTGTTCAAAATCCCTTTCCTCCCGTCTGTATAATATTCATAGTAATTAGTCTTTCTAATCCCTGGCCTTTTCTTATTCAAAGAAAACAAGAGTTGTTTTCTTTTGTGTCATAAGTATTCGCATTTTTCTTTGATGCCCTAGACAGTTAGACTGTTTTTATAGTTTATAACCTATTAAAACTATGTAAACAACTATTAATTTTAAGTACTTTTTATTATAATATGTGAATATATGTAAGTAAAAAAAAAACAATAGGTATGTGAATGAGAGCACAACATACCTTTACCAATGTTACCCAAATAGTAATATTATATTACTCATATATAGTAGTAAAAAAAATAATAATAACACAAGGTCATAATAATTATATACATCTTTGTAGCAAATTATTTGAATCATAAATAAACTACTTATGCCTAGTAGGTTTACTAACACTTAAATTGCTTGATAACTGCCGTACATATATTTCATGTTCAGAAGAAATTATTTAATTTAATTATTACATTTGAGTTGCATTTACTATATAATAATTTTTTTTATACATAAGCAGAGAGAGAGAGAGAGTTATATTTTATAATTTTACTAAAGTAATTAAATCTGCGTTTATTAACTTAACTGCAAATCTTGCCAAGATAGTGAGCGCCGTTGACACATAATATTATAAATAATTTTATCGCCGTTTAATCAGATGAATTAGTGTATCTAAAAGGTCTAAAAATTACAGAATATTGACTGTATATCACTTCCAAAAGGCCGTATACCATCTTACCACCTGTCTATTTTTAGTTTGAAAGTCTATTATGTCTCAACGTAGTTAATTAAATTAGACTGTTTTACATTTATTTTATCTTATTTTTTGGTTTAATGATGATTTTGGTCATCAAAAAAATGAGTAAATTCCAATAAGTTAAACAAGGTAGGTAAAGGTATCTTAAACTTTAGACAACATTTTGTTTTTCGTAAATACGGAATTAAAAATGTAAATACATTTATATGAATTGTTAATTGTCCACTAATATTATACCACTTGGTACTATTATTTTGCCACTTCAACCAATAATTCAAATATGTGGATAAATTATTGTAGCAATACATATTGTTGGAAGCGTTCGAATAAAATTGTTTGGTTTGGAGGTATATAGATTTTAAAAGATAAACAAGAATTTGGAATCGAATATTAGAGCAGTACCAGTTGTTTGTTTGTCTGGTTTTGACAACGGTCCCAAGATACTTAACGTATCTTTCGTTATCTTTTTTTTCGCTTCCGTAAAATGTCAGAAACACCCTAAGTACTCGAGTTAAGTGATTCATTTTAACCTACATGTGTGACCTGAACATACTCGAGCATCTGAAACCAATGGTGTTTAATACCATTGATTATAAAGGTCATAATAGGTAATAATATAATGTTTTAATTTGTGTTTACATAGAAAACTCGCCTCCGACAATTTTGGTACGGGTTCCGTCAGGATCAGCAGCTGTAGACCAAAATGGTGGACTAGTCGTTTTCCCTGGATCAATATTACACTTAGAATGTCTTTATTTGAGACGACATGGCGATCCGGAATGGACATGGACATCTGAGGCGGAAACTTATCTTACCGGTAAGTTTTCAATAGATTACGTGCTATGTCAAAAACATTTTGAATTTGAATAAATCTCAACTTGTTTTAACATGCACAGTGAAGTGATTTTATCCATAATAAAAATGTAGACTATTATAAAAGTTCCCATATATTTCTATAATCTTATAATATATTATAAATACCTACTATCAATCAGTCCGTCTCAACTCACAAGTACCTACACTGTATACCTATAATACTGGAAAATGAATACCAAGCATGTTTCCAATAAATGTCACAAGTACTCATAATATAATAACGTTATTAACGTCTGTTAAAAAATAAAAATATATAATTTACAAGTCAGTTAAAAATGAAACAAAAATATTATTACAATTTAAAGCAGAAACTTCAATATATTATATAATGTTTCATGACTGAAAAACTATGAGTACCTTTTTTAGTATTCCATCTTGCATAAGCCACGGTTTTTATAATATTAAAACATCAAACATTTACATGTATACATCATGGGTTGCTTAAGCGAGTTGCAAGATAATTAGTAATTATTAATCGTTATATTTTGCTTGGCGACAAAGTGAGATTCAACAGCAAGAATGAGAGATTGCTCAATAGGCGTAATATTATTACGTATTTTTTGCATTGAGTAAAATTATTGTAAGCGCCACAACTTGATTTTTAACAATATTTCATTTATACGTTTAATAATAGTTTTTAATTATATTATGTAAATTAGCACAAATTAAATCCAATAATGGTAATAATATTAACTAAATTAAAAAGAAGATAAAAGTCACTCAAAGCATACTCAATAGTATGGACGGTCGACGTAAAAAAGTTGTAGACAGCTTTCTCATAAATAAATCTCTTCACGTGTACGGATGAGACTGATAATACTACCGAACGGACGTGACACATGTCATTTTGGTTATGTATAGACGTATAGTACATTTGAAAAAAAAAAATATTTTATTATTTCATGCTTTAACTTTTAAGGCGATATTACATAGTTCTTATCAAATGTAAAATGAAAATCTAATCAATATTTAGGTTTGAGCTTTCATGAAAACAGTTTGTTTATTGAATTTTCATGGACAATTTTGATATTTTGATACCTACATCCTATAAATAATAGTAAAAACACACAGATGACGTTTTCTTTGATTTAGATCCGCATCAGGTTTATATAACGATGCTGGACACTTCTAATTTTCTATAGCAATTTAATTTACAAGTTTCATTTATAAAACGTAATAATTTATTTTAATTATATAAGAAATAATTTTATTTTGTTCAGAAAATTAAAACAGTTTAAAAAAAAAAATATTATAAACATTAAATCAATTTCTTAAAGATTGATTATTTTTAATTAAAAACTGTACATATTGAAATTGTCTTTAATATGTCAACGTCTCTTCTAATTAAATAGTAAATAAATAAAATTACAATTTTATACTTAACCAATATAGTCTAGGCCCTAGGGATTTGCTTTGTGCTTTGGAAAATTGATCAACGACTTTTGAGAGATTAGAGTGACTAATTTTCTGCTATCTTAATTGATGCCACAACACTAATCTCCTCTTCGAAGCTCTATCGAGTGTGTTTTGGGTTTAACTATCTTGTATCATCCGAAATTCTCGTAGAAAAGATTTATAAGGTCAAAAATTAATAAGGGTCTGAAACCTGCTAAGGATTTTCGGATTCAAAAGTTTCTGAATACAGGATTACGATAATCTCTACTGACGATTTTGTCCTTGGTATTTCAAACGACACATATAGATTATAATTTTATAATTATATAGTTATTCGTGGAAACATATTTCAAGAAAATATATGTGTATCAATAATTTATTCGGTATCAAAGTTGTATTTTATTAATTTATATTTTACCCAGTAGTAAAATATTTTTCTCATAGTTATTAGGGTAAATATTTATAAAACTTAAACATTGTACAGATATTTATAGAAATTGATTGTTCAATATGTTTTATTTTATAGATATCAATCGAAAACCTAGGTAGTTACAAATAAAACGTAATATATAAAACAAAATAATTAAATAAAATACAGTTGTTATATTTTTTGTTAGGAATTTAACACATTATGTAGGTAATTATAAATATTTAAATAAATTCATCATATAAGTGTTTTATATATTTTAAATAAAAAACGTGTAATATTTTACTACCGAAACTCATACCTACCTAAAATAAATAATAAAACATATGTCTTACGAAGCACTAGAAAATAGACCCAATATGATTGGACAAAAAAGAACATTCTTAATGAAATCTTAAACTTGGTGACAAGTATTAATATCCAGGTTAGTTTTATAGATATTGTCACTTAATAGTTGATAAAATTATTACTATTTTTTCTCAAGAACTATAATTGATTGTAGGACGGGCATTATTTTGTTTCTTACCGTAGAACAATATACTAATAACTACTTATATGAAACATACAATACAGATTATATTTTTTTGTCTTCTGTCTAGACCAAAAAAGAAAAACTTTGCAAAATTGTTATTAGTTTATTGGATTCATAACGATCAATGTATTTATTTCAGAGTGTGACGCAGCACACGAGTTAAATTTAATGAATTGTAATAGATGAATGATTATATAAATTCAGTTGTGTCTTACGATAATTTTTAATATGAATAGAACAGAGAACGATCAACGTGCATTTTTTATATAATTGAATGACTATTATTCTAGGGATCTCGGTATAATATTTACTGCATCATTGAGGCGCCCCCGAACTTTTACATCCACACGCCACTACAATAGCTAAAATAATATATAATAATGTGCGTATGGGGTATCGGATGACTACTAAATGGAACTCGTAAAACTGTCCCAGGGCACAACATTCCAGCAGTGTCGAATGGCTTAAAGCCGTTTGAAAACGATACGGTTGTGTTGGATGTGAAAGGGTTTGTAATAATAGCTCTCCAAACAGCCAATATAATAACATAACGGGTGTCCGGGAAATATATAAAACTTTGAATTGTATTCGTTTGAATCGGACACTGGTGCGGTTGAATCATTATGTGATCGTAATGAAATAATCGAACGCATATTATACTTATGGGCTTACGGTGTAGTATACCTATCGATCATTTACGGTCGGTTTCACCACAGACCATACATAGAGAACAAAATGGATTTTTTCATTTAAATATAATATTTTAATGTTGTGAATTTTTAGCTTTTCTCATTTCTACAATATAATAAAACACTAGACTTTCCATCAGGCGTACAGATTGATTTATTGTTATTGTCGCAGTTGTCGTCTCGTTAAACTTGATTAATTATCGTTGAATATTTATATATAACCGCTTCGATGTGGACAAAATATATGCCGGGTAGATCACGGCAACGAGGGCTGTAATTAAGGTCACCGCATTATTTAATTCATTCTTGAGTAGCAACGAAAATGCATCAGATATCAAATTAAAAATATGTTCTAATTGTAATATCACTTAAAATAGTCAACGCGTGTTTATATTTTCGACTTAATGTAAAATGTAACTATATAATCACAATTTATTATTAACCAGATTGTGTTAAGATAATTTTTAAACAATAGTTATATGTATTCAGTTTTAACTTCTTCCTAAATTAAATATTATATCGATGGCGTAGCGCACATAAGTGTGATAAGTGACATTTTCGTAATTGTTCAGGAGAACGATTTTTAAGTTTGAGATGTCATAACAAATTCAAAAATGTAACGAACTGTACGACGTCTATCGGAGTAAATAATGAACTATTCACTTACAACGTTTGGGCATAATGTGCAGAATTGTATGATTAAATTGATTATGCACTTAACTCATTTTTCAAAAAAATGTCACTTATCACACTTGTGCGCTACGCCATCGATATTCAGTAATTTACCAAATAACTAATATTTGTAAAGACAAAAATAAATAGTTAATAATTATATAATATAAACTGAAATTAATATACTTATTTATTAGGGTTTTGATATTGAACGGTTGAATATATTATACTAATCTATACCTATGACCTACCATATCCAGGTATTGAGGTACCTATGACTAATGAAATTATTTCAAAATTTAAGTATTTAAAAGGAAAACACTGTATTTGTTTCATTCTTTTAAAAACATCAGTTTTAGTACCATTAAAATGTAATTTTAATGTAAGTGTACTTATTTAATACATGTTACCTACATGGTTTAGAATTAAAATATATTAATATTACTTAGGTAAAATAGTTAGAGCCTCTAAATATTCGACTACAATTATTCACTGTTAACAATTTGCAGTGAAATGATAAAAATAAAAATTTCATAAAGGAACTTTGTTTTAACTAAATACAAAAGCAAAATATAATGGCAGAGTACTAAAATATATAAATTACAGTGTTTTTTTTTTTTATAAGATGATTTAGATGAACACAGGGTCAAAATATGTGTAATGGTTGAAGTGGAGAAAGGTATACCGAGAGTTAAAATGATGAGGGGTTCTCCTGGGATTAAATGCAACGTTTTACTAGATGGCGGTTACTACGTAGTTAGACCGTTATAATGTACGTGTTAAAGTATTAAACAGCGAACAAGAGGAAAAAAACAAAAGAAAAAGTTGTTAATAATCGAAGCAATAATGCAGAGACGGATGTTTGATATAAGTATATAATATTACGTTTTACGAATGGTTGAGGAATCAATTTCCTTTCTAGATAATTCGTGTAGGTACTATTACAAATACCATTAAGACATTAATGTCTATATTCTACGTCGCTAACTTAGAAATTTAACATTTGTATCGTTTTGTGGAACAAAATAATTATTTTTAAACTACTTTTCACATTAAAAGTTATTTAAAACGATTTTAATGTCCATTTAAAACATAAATTATTAACATGCATTTTATTTTTATATTTATCAATAATAAAACGTGTCATACTGATATTATATCAATTTTAAAATAGGAACTAATACGCAAGTGATATTTTGTTTTGATATATTAAAACTGATTGTTGTTCAGTATATTGCAGTTATATTTTGCATATTATATTTCATGTTTCATTAATTTTATTTAAATTAAATAAATATAATATCTCGTAGTTAAAGTGCTATAATGTGACCAGTATATTAACAAAAGATCATTATGCATATCTACCGAATATGATGGAATAAATTATTATTTAATTATTGTAATAATGAATTGTGTTATCTTCGTGCGTTGCACGTGATAATATTGAGTAAAGAGCTATAGGTATGATTTTATATTTGTGCTTAACCAATTGTTCAAATCATTATAAATCACTATAAATTATAATATAATATGGTCATATATATGATACACATTAAGTTATAATATGATTATATCATTGTAAGTACATAATATATAATTTATAATATTTTTTCCAATCTTCCTATTTTTCAGCCATTTGAAAGTTATTTATTTTATTACATTTATTAATACAATTAATATCAATATGACAATGTAATATCAATTTGTACACAAAAACAATAAGCGCCATTAATTGATCCTTCCATTTTTCATTCTCCTAAACAATAAATTTCATAAGCCATATAAAAATGGAGCATTTTGTTTGTACATGCGTACCTATATCCTGATATTTTAGTTGTATTATTTTCGGAACCACTACATCACGCCATCGTCACCCCACACATTTGATACTTCCATACATTTGTTACAATTATACTCAAAAATTGTTTATATAGAGATTATAATATGAAACATGGCGTAAGAATATTATAGTGATGCGTAATATTTTATGATTTAGATATGTATGAAACAAGGTATTTACGGAACGGAATAATGAGAAAATAAATAAATTTATTTTATACGAGTAAGTGTGAAAACGACAGAAAAAAATTGCCGAAATGTTTTTGGATAAGGCTAGATGATTTACTAGAAAACCGGGGTAGCTTAAACTAAAGGCAAACATTTTTCATTTCATTCGCTTCTAAACTTCTGTACTTACACGTTAGTCAGCCACAGTCGTTCACTATCCTAAATCATTAGTCACCTCACGACAGCTGTCTTCACGATCAATTTGATGGTTAGTCAATGATTCACTGATTCTACGTGAATCTTACACATTACATATCACGATGATGTCAACGATGTTAATCTTATTTAATAAAATATAATTTTATTTAATAATATGCAACGGTTACCTATATTATTCACTAATCATCTTAATATTATTTAGTAAGTAATTTTAATCATAAGTACTAAATATTGTGTAAATTATATTCAATTTGTACGATTCAATTTATGACTATCAAAATAAACTTAAAAATTATTTATTTATTGTTATTGAGCAAGTCACTGTAATTGATGTGATAAATCATTATATACCAAAACCGATTCTGCTCGTAGATGGTCTGTCAGCTTATATTACTAAGTATATTTTATGATATTAGTTACACCAAAAAATAAAACAATCAATTTTGAGGTATACTTTTGTGTACAAATTACTATTTTTGTTTTTCCTGTTATATTGAAAAGTACTTTTGACTCCCCAAAAAATACCAACAAGATTCAATTTTCTATTTATAAAAACCAGTCCCTAAAGTTTAAAATTGAATAATTTTTAATGCCCCAAAAGGTAACGACAGACAGAAAAAAACATTATGAAATCAATACACTCATCACTTCGCTCAGAATCTAAAATAATTCTGTCATAATTGGATTTTTCATCTATACTACTTCATCAGCACAGACATCCTCATTAAAATTAATAGATTTGATGCACAATAGAAACTTATATGATTCAATTGATGTTTTCAAACCTATTAATTCCAGTTGAATGTTGAAAATATATACACAATGTTTATTGTCTGATGAACCTTCCCTACACATATGGATAATCAACATAAGTCTATCATACATCACACACTTTCAGCAAACAATTATCCACAAATGTTTCAAAAGAATATATAAAACAAATAATAAACAATTATAAGCTTAACTTGAGTAACATATATGATAAATTAAAATAAATACAAAACCTATGTGTGGGACTAGGTCGTCGATATAAAAACCAATGTTAGTTCTTTAAAAAAAAATCATACTCATCAACAAACTAAAAACTTATACATATATTATGTACAAAAAGTAAATACAAATAAATTAACTAGGTATACTAAAATCTACACTACGCATCTAAATCCGATGTGAAAGTCAACAAAGTGATCACTTTAAGGAAAAAAAAAATGTGAAAATGTGATCATCTCTCTGTATAAAAGTCATCGTCAAGTTCTACCTACCTATAATTTATTTTTAACTTATAAAACCAATTTTTGTTTAATTCTCAATGATTTGTTCAGCACATTCAGTCTACAAATTAAAAAAATTAATTCAAGCTTGGAAACATGTTCATAAGAAAAAAAATAATTCAATACATTTATTGAATAAAAAAAAAATCTGTTTCACAGATTACTGGCTACATAATAAGGCATACAAGGTAATGAAAAAAAATCAGACATAGCTTCAAAAGAAATCCTAAAAACATATACGGAAAAAATAAACAAGCAGACAAACGCTGTCATAAAAAAACAACAAATAAATAATACGTGCCTGCTAGAAGGGGACATATTGTTATAAAAACAAGACCAACAACTAAGCAATATTCATTGAACTAGGTTATTTACCAGTAAATTATCGATTTATAACAACATAAAATATGAGGCTGTAATAAATAGATTGAAAATGGCCATACTAAACTAACACATGGCTACTTGATGTCCAAAAAATAACCTCCTTCAAATTTAACATGCTGAACACAGCAAACGAAAAAAACACATATTAATCGAGTGACGGTAAAATGAGGAACAAAGAGGAGAGAACAATACACTATATATACTTGACTAACTGCATAATATATATATAGGTACTAGGTACAGGAAAGGAAGCAGAAGAAAAAATAATATTATTTTAATTAAAATTGTAAACGTAGTGGTAATAAACTCTGTAACTTAAGCTAAAGGATTAAATAAAAAAATTAATATTTATAATATATATATTACTTTGGATACTTTGCTAAATGCAATTTAATAATATAATGAATCAAAAATGCCCCAACTTACAATGCATAACGTAATCATTCAAAACATGTTAATATTAACCAAAATACATAATATTATAGGGTTGCTCTGTACGTCATGCTTCTTCAATGGAATAGTGCGGGTACATAGGTATTGTAACGAACATGTTAATGCCTCGATAAATATTTTAGCCTGTTCTTTGTTGAATGTGATTATTATATTTTTAGATTACTTATCAATATATGCATATACTATCGTATATCAATTTTAAAGTTGCAAACTAATAATGTCAAAGGGATTTAAAATTGTGCTGGCATTGTAATATGATTATTTTTCAATAAAGCGCAAAAAACTCTCACTGAATGCACTACATAATGGAAGTAGGTAAGTATATACTCAAAGAAGTGGGTATGCGATTTAAGCAACTACAACTTTTTTAAAAATCATTTTTACTTATTTTGTTTTTTGTAATTATTTTAATATTAGCGGTACAGTTCAGCAATATTATCCGACTTATTTTTCATATTATAAACGCTAAGCAGCCAAAGTCAAAAAGTTAGTTTGTAATGTAATAAAATATACAAACGATGAGACATATTAAAGTTGTATAACGCACTGTAGTGGATTGGATAAACAATTTAAACATCAAACACCACTGCTTTCTGTCACACTGTAAATATTTTAATATTTCATTTGAACTCCGGCTAAGAAAAACGACTCTAAAGATCTCAAATTGTCCATTAAAAATATCTCGAAACAATAAAATATGTATACGTGAATTGATTAAAAATCACGCAAATTGTCTTAAAACCATATCCATTATTATGAAACGGTGCCTTTCAATAAAGCTCTGCTTTCAAGCTTCAAGCCACCATTTAAAAAAAAAACCTTAGTGTGTTCCTGATGCAGTGACTATGTTTGGTTAGATAGTAATACTGGGTACTTTAATTTTTTTTATTATTCTTTTATTCTCTCCTATAATCTGATGCCTGTACCTAACGACTTCCATCTTATGTGTAAAGTGTACACCGTCAGCTGTTTTAATATAATATCTTGCGCTACGTACTTGTATAAATTTATAGTGTTCTCGGAATTTCTAGTGAGATTTTTATTTCACTAACATTTTAATTATGTGGCTTTTCATATTATATCTTTAAAGTTTAAACAAAATGTGAATATTACAAAGTAATATTGTTTAAGAATCGTTATAATTGAGTCTTATTAACGAAATACTATTACATTGTGTATAGGTACCTAGTATTAATTTAATTTCAACACAAATCCATATTGTATCAATTTAGGTAACTCTGAATATTTTCTTTATTTTTTTTTTTTATTGGTCCTTAAGCCCAGTATCTATTAGCCATTAGCTGTTAGTAGGGTTGTTTTGTGATGGGTTTTTACACGTGAGTGTTTGTTTTTGGCAGACTTTTTGATTGGGCACCCGTAGGTATCTGCCATTCTCGGGGGGTGGGAGGATGGCGTCACTTGTTCTCCGGACACCGT